ATTTTTCGAAAAAGGAAAATAATTGTTAAAATGCATATTTTAAGAAATTGACCTTTAGACTATCATCCAATCCGCAGAAAAGAGTTCGTCCATCAGGGTGGAAGGCAATTGATCTTACTCCTGAAGCCTGATGAGTAAAACAAAAAGGTTAATTCGGACTAGTTAAGATCTCCAATCAAAACAAAAGACTGCATATGTCAACCAAACACAGAAGGACATTGCAGGGAAGGGAAAGAAAAGAAAACAGGAAAATGAAGTAGATAACACAGTCATTCATGAGTAAAGAACTAAATTAAATCAGGTTCTAATTAAGTTATCTCCAAATAAAATGATTCTTCCAACTTCCTTGTCGGGTAAAATTACTTCTGGGATGTTAACAAGGCAAAACTGTTGCAATGCTATCTGAAAATTACTAATTTGAATTCCAAATTTGCAATGAAGCCTTCTCTATCTTTTATCCATCGACTTCTTTAATTGTAAGTACCTCACGTCTTGCAGATCCAATCATCTCAAACGTCTCCAAATCCCAAAACTTCACAGTTTTATCAGCCGAACCTACATATATACATTATACTTAACAGTTAGCAAACCACAAGAAGAAAAAAAAAAAAAAAAAAAAAAAACATAATGTCTGCTCCATATGCACAATTCACCTGTTGCCAACAGAAACTCGAGCGGATGAAATTCTATAGACCGGATACGCCCTTCATGGAACTTGAAGTCGTGCAGAAGCTTTCCAGCCGTAAGGTCCCACACCTGAACAGTAAAACAAAAATGATCTCATGTGTGAAATGTAAAAAAGGTTTGAAAAAAAAAAGGTTCCCAAAATCTTCACTGTCAAACCTTAACGACATTATCAAATCCACCAGAGACTACCCATCGACCATCAGGGGTGAATCTTATCGTGCTTATCCCGCGCGTGTGGCCTTTGTAAGTGTGTATACACCCCTTTTTTCTAATATCCCATATCTTTAGATTAGTGTCCATCGAACCAGATGCGAAAAACTCACCAAAAGGATGGAACTCGAGAGCCGTGCAGTAGGATCTGTGCCCAGTTAGAGTGCGGACCACTGCAACTCAGAGTTATCAGACACAACATGAGTAAGAAAATATCACATTGACCATATGTTATCGTTTAACACACAGCACAAATTTTAAATTTATATGGAAAGTACAGCTTGATTATTTGCATGTTTATCAAGTTCAGCTTTCCTTCAGAAGGAA